AAAATTGTGCTCTACACTGGAATTTGACACAACATTGTGAAATGATTATAACTCAATGAAAAAAGTTTTAAAAAAATAACAAAAAAAATGCATAGGCAAAGATGCTCACTCCGTCACGGTTCATAGTAACAAAAATACTGATCATAACTAAAAATGAACAATTACAGGCCTGGGTCAATAGACACACTCATATACTCATCATAGTAGCATATGGTTTAAAAAATTTTTAAAAAGGGTGGACTTCAGGCAGATATGAGTTCAAATCCCAGCCTTGTCATTATGACATACAGTGATTCACTCAATGTCTTTTGGGGCTCCATCTGTTGTGTTAAAATGCGGATGGCACTGTTTATGTAGTAGAGACAGGAGATGTGGTGCAGTGGGGAAGACCATGCACTTCGGAGTCACTGTTTCAGCAGCACTTACTTAGCTGTGCGACCTTGGGCAAGTCAGCTTCCTGAAGCCTCCATTTCCCCATCTGTAAAATGGGGATAATAACTGCTCCCACCTCATAGGGTTGGAATGAGTGAGATAAAGCTTATGATGTGTTCAGCAAAGGTCTAGCCCAGAGTAGGTGCTCAACTAGTGAATGAATGAGTGAATGAGTGCTGCTCTGTTGTTAGGCCCCTGAGAGACAAAGACAAATAAGATGCCTGATGATTCCTTAAACATAATCTCCTTTAGGCAGGGTAGGGTGTAGCTCAGTGGTAGAGCGCGTGCTTAGCATGCACAAGTTCTTGGGTTCGATCCCCAGTACCTCTGTTAAATTAAAAAAAAATAATAATAAACGAAAGAATAAATAAACCTACTTATCTCCTGCCCACAAACAAACAAAACATAATCTCCTTGAAAGCAGGGACAAAATTCCTTCTAAAGAGGTAACTTTTCCCTCTCCTTGAGTTCTTGGAAGGCTTCATCACATGACTTCAGAGAAGGCACTCAGCATAGCTGAATGAAGGTGATCTTCAAACAGATCCCCCTGAGATAAAGATACTTCCCAACGTGCAGTCTGTATGCAGTAATGGTGGTTCCAGGAGGGCAGGATGATGGCCAAGATGACACGGTCCTTTCTTTGCTTAGTCACTACCTAAATCAGTGCCTCAAGGGGATGTTGAGAATCTTGCCAAGGGGCTTTCCTGACTGAGATACATGTGTTCATTCAGCACATTGGGTGGCTTTGTGCCAGGGTCTTGGAACATGGAGGTGAGAAGTACCCCATCCTTGCCCTGTGTTGAGAGACACCATTTAAAACACTGCGTGAAAGAGGCAGGATAGCAGTTCTGTCTGAGCTGGTGCTGGACGCTGGCCGTCTGAATGTGAATCCATATCCCACGTTTGCTCTGTGACTTTGGGAAAGTGACTTGACCACTCTGAGCTGCAGCTCCCATATTTCTAAATCAAAGAAGAGGGTCAGCCCTCTTCTGAGGCTGCTGTGGGGCTGAACGTAATGCACACAAAGCACTCACCACAGTGCAGATGATACTCAGTATGCAGAAGCCACCCGGCAGTGACTCTACTCCTGTCGTTACTGTCATTGTCATCCTAGGAGCTCAGAGGGGTGGTGCAGCAATGGTAAGTGAATGGCCAGATTGGGTGGAATTCTCCAGGTCTCTTGTAATCCAACTTCATTTTGTGGGGGCTTCTGTTCTGTGTCTATGAGAGTGTTTGGTTCTTTCCTCCCACTGAGAGCTGGTCTGTTTCTGCTTCCCTACAGGTTGGCCACCTAATCCAGGTTGCTGCAGGGAACAGTAACCTCAAGAGAGTGACCCTGGAGCTAGGGGGAAAGAGCCCTAACATCATCATGTCAGATGCTGACAGTGAGTTTTCGGGGGGATGTCTGGTATCAGCCTGCCACTAGCTGTCACTTCTGCAGTCCTCCTCCCCTTGGCTGCATTACCACAGTGGGCTATGACCTCTGCTCTTCCTGTCTGCCACCCGGCCTCCACACTCAGAAGGGAGAGATCAAGCCTATCTTTCCCGGCACAGGCTCTGGCACCCAGTGGGCATGGACGCGGTTGGTGGTGGTAACGGGTTAAGGGTAGCAGCCGCTGGGGCCAGGCTTCTCCTCCTCCTCTTCTCACGGCCACCTTCTGCCTCCCCAGTGGACTGGGCTGTGGAGCAGGCCCACTTCGCCCTGTTCTTCAACCAGGGCCAGTGCTGCTGTGCAGGCTCCCGGACCTTTGTGCAGGAGGACATTTACGCCGAGTTTGTGGAGCGGAGTGTTGCCCGGGCCAGGTCTCGTGTGGTTGGGAACCCCTTTGACAGCCAGACTGAGCAGGGGCCTCAGGTAAGTCCGACAGCTACATGTGGGTTTTAGTGTTAGGAGCCAGCATGGAGAGCAGAAAGGGCCTTGGATTTTGAGTCAGGCAGGCCTGGCTTCAAGTCTCAGCTCTGCCAGGCACCAGCTGTGTGCCCCTGGGAAGCCACATGCCCTCTCTGAGCCATTCTCATTCATAATGCCTGCTTTTCCTAACTCACAGGGTGGCCTTGAGGTGGAAATTCATAATGGAAAGCCCTTTGTAAATTACATACACATAATAAACACTAGGAGTGTCTGTGTGAAGGGAACGCATGTTTCCTAGACCTTGGCCTTCCATAAAAATTCATCTGCCAGAAAGACACATGCATACCTGTTAATCCGTTTCCTCTGGGAAGGGGCGGAGGGCCATGGTATGGGTAGCAGAGGGACTTCATTTCACTTTATACTCTTCTGAACTGTTTGGTTTAAAATTAAAAAAAATTTTTTTTACCATGAGCATGTATTCATTTTAATCAGTAAAAATATAGTCAATAATTACAAAAGAAAGAAACACAGTGCCTCTCCCCACCATTTCCTCTCACATCCTGGTCCTTTTTGCAGCACTGTCCTTAGACCCCGCCTGTCCCAGGCTCACTCTCCACAGGGCCCTGCACTGGCCTCCTCCAGCCACCCCCTCCCAGAGTCCACAGGATCCGGGATGCTCCCAGCTCCCACAAGTCCCTTGCACACAGCCCTGAGCCCACTTCTGGGGCCCACTGCGGCCTCTCTGTGGGTTCTGTTGACCTGAGAGTGTCTGCCCTGCTGGTGTGCACTCTTCAGGCTCCAGGGACTGGCCAAGGCAGCAGCCTTTTTTTTTTCTTTAATTAACAGACTATTTTTCAGAAAAATGAGCAGAAAGTATAGAGTTCCCATGTATCCCCTACCCTCCCTACCTTCTGGTTTCTCCTGTTATTAACATCTTGCGTTGGTGTGATACATTTGTTATAATTTGAAGAGCAAATATTGATATATTATTATTAACTAAAGGCCACAGTTTGCATTAGGGTTCACTCTTGGTGGTGTACCTTCTGTGGGTTTTGACAAGTGAATCAAGGCATGTATCCACCATCACGGTGTCACCCAGAATAGTCTCAGTGCCCTAAAAATCCCGTTTGCCACCATTTTGTCCCTCCCCCCCTGCCCCTAACCCCTACAACCACTGACCTTTTCACTGTCTCTTTGGTTTTGTTTATTCCAGAATGTCATATAGTTGGAATTACATAGTCTGTAGCCTTTTCAGATTAGGCTCTTTTTTCTTCTTCTTCAGATTGCCTTCTTTTACTTAACAACGTGCATTTAAGATTCCTCCATGTCTTTTCATGACTTGGTAGTTCACTCCTTTTTATGGCTGAATAATATGCCTTTGAATGGATGGACCACATTTTCTTTATCCATTCATCTGCTGGTAGACCCTTGGATTGTTTCCTCTTTCTGCCTATTGTGAATAGCGCTGCTATGAATCCCAACATCTCTTTTTCTCTCTTGTTTTCCTTTGTGGTTTGTGACTGCTTAATTATTAAAGTAATACAAATGTGTATAAAAATTTAATAAAAAAAGAGTTTAAAATAAAAAATAAGACCGTCTTGGTCCCCTCCATGTCCATTCCCCATAGGTAACCACACACATATAGGCATCATAGAGTTGTATTTTGGTATGTTCGTTTTAACAAAAATAGGATTATATCACATACATCGTTCTACAAGCGTTCCCCTCTCTTTACACAGTATCTTAGGCTATCTTTCTGGGTCAGCTAGTTTACAGGTCTGTTATTAATGATGACAGGCTATATGGATGTACCGCTGGTTATATGAACCAGTCCCTCTATGGATGTATACTCAGAATTGTTTTTGTTTTTTGCTTTTACAAGATGTTTTTGCTTTTACAAGATGTGACCAGCCCTGTTCAGGTCCCTTTGTCCCATGTAGAATAAAAACTCCTAGAAGTTAAATAGCTGGTGGGTCAAAGGATATGAACATTTAATTTTTTTTAAATTTCCAGTGTATAGCATCATGTCCCAGTCATGCATATATATACATATATTTGTTTTCATATTCTTTTTCATTAAAGGTTATTATAAGATATTGAACATAGTTCCCTGTGCTATACAGAAGAAACTTTGAAAAAAAATTTTTTTTAAAGTACAGTCATTTACAGTGTGTCAATTTCTCATGTACAGCACAGTGTCCCAGTCATGCACATACATACATATATTTGTTTTTATATTTTTTCATTAAAGGTTATTATAAGATACTGAACATAGTTCCCTGTATTATACTGAAGAAACTTTTTTTAAAATCTGTTTTTATATATAGTGGCTAAGATTTGTAAATCTCAAACTCCCACATTTATCCCTTCCCACCCCTTTCCCTGGTAACCATAAGATTGTTTACTATGTCTGTGAGTCTGTTTCTGTTTTGTAGATGAGTTCATAGTGTCCTTTTTCTTTCCTTTTTTTTTTTAGATTCCTCATATGAGTGATATCATATGGTATTTTTCTTTCTCTTTCTGGCTGTACATCTAATTTTTTGACCAATATTAATAAGCCACTTTCCCAAAGAGCTGTACCAGCTTACAGTCTTTTTTTTTAATTGAGATATAACTGACATGTTGTATTAGTTCTTCTAATAGTGTATGAATATTACAAAGTGTGTGTCATACCCTAGCCATCAGTGCATTTTCTTACTACTTAACATTTTTATTAATCTCATTATTGAAAAATAAAAACAGTGGGCTTGACACTCATTTCTTTGAGGGCTAATGAGGTTGGTAGAACCTTTCTTTAAATGTTTTTGGCCTTGCTTGTTTATGATCTGTCCCATTTCCCAGCTGTCACCTTGCCTGTGTGGTTCTAAGCCTACAGATAGGAGAGGTCTGGCTCTAGCATCTTTGTAATTCTGGGCTCCTTCTCCCTCAGGTGGACGAAACCCAGTTTAAGAAGGTCCTTGGCTATATCAAATCTGGGAAAGAGGAGGGGGCAAAGCTGCTGTGTGGTGGAGGGGCGGCTGCTGACCGTGGTTACTTCATCCAGCCCACTGTATTCGGAGATGTGCAAGATGGCATGACCATTGCAAAAGAGGAGGTTAGCATGGGTCCAGAGCTTGGGGGAATGTTCTTAGGAGGACAAGTGGACAGTTCACTCCAGCACCTTGAGACTGTGACGCATGAGCGGGCCTCGGGCCAAATCCTGGCTCTATGCCTAGGACAGATTATTTAAAATTCACTTCTGATCTTGGCCCTCTCCTTTTCAGCCTCTCACGGCTGCCCACGGTTGGGGAGAACATCTGAATTCTCTGGCACAGCCCACAGGCCCTGTGTGTTCTGGTCCCTGCAGGCTGTGAGTCAAGGAATGACTCTGCCTGGCCCTTCTCGTGGCCTTCATGTAAGCAGGACACTGGACTAGATCAAAGGGTTGACTTTATGTGGCGAGAATCCCTTGACCTTCTCCCCCATGGCACTCATGAACGCAGGGCAGCAGCTTCATCTCATTCATTCGTTCATTTCACAAATAATTTTGAACACCTACTGGAGCCACACACTCTATGGACACTGGAGAGCCAAGGGGGACCCGACGTGTGCACTCGGCCCTGGTGGAGTTAAGACCTGCTCCACTTCCCCAGCTGGGTTAAGCCCTTTAGCGGCCCTGTGAAGGGAAAATACTACAGTGCCACCCACTTTCGTGGATAATTCAAAGTAAAGTAGTATTAAAATGCAGAATCAGGGTAAAGAAGTACAACACTTGATTCCAGTCACTTACAGTCTGTTCCCCGGGACTCTCCCCTGATAGGGCTGGGAGCAGCCGCACCCCAACAGCAACAGGCACACCTGGCTCTCGTGTTTTGGCTTCTGAACCCCATTGCCCACTAAAAGGACCCAGGATTCCTTGAAGAACTGGCTCAGAAATAGGGCAAGGATCGTGTAGGATAAACCTGGAACATCCTGAGATCAGAGACCCTATTTTGTTCATAGTTTCTTCAGTGTCTAGTGTGTGCCTTGCTGAATGACTGACTGACTTTCTTTTAAACTAAATCTACATGCAGCCTGTCAGTGCAGGCTTCTACCTTGCAGGACTATTTAGAAATAAGATAAGGTATGTAAGGCCCGTGGCACATAGACGGTAACTAGCTCCCATTAGCTTCCTCCCCTTTGTGTTCCAGTGGGTGCGGGAGCTGTTGTCTCCCCTGGAACTATTAGCGTGTGTCTAGGGGCTTATTACCACATCTGGAACCATCTGGCCGGCACTGTGAAAGCTAGATAATAGGTGGTTCTGTGTCTGCCATGTCCACTCACTGTGCTTCCTCACCCCAGATCTTCGGGCCAGTGATGCAGATCCTGAAGTTCAAGACCATAGAGGAAGTTGTTGGGAGAGCTAACAATTCCAAGTATGGGCTGGCCGCAGCTGTCTTCACAAAGGACTTGGACAAGGCCAATTATTTGTCCCAAGCCCTCCAGGCTGGCACTGTGTGGTAAGTGCCTCCCAGCAGCTCCTTACAACCCAAGCAGAGATCCCCAAGCCAGGGTCTTCTAGAGTCCAGTGCTCACATCCCAGACTTGGGGTGCTGGGCTCGGTTCCTCCTGAGTCAGGGTTTGGTGTAGCAGATAGAGATTTCCCACCCCCTCTCCTCCAGGAGATTAAACTTCCCTCCAGCACACGTGCCCACGCAGCTGTTCTTGGGCAAGCAGATGGATGCCTGGGGCTCCTTACCAAGCTACAGCAAGGGCAGGAGACCAGAGCTGAGGGCCCACACCTGTGTAACACTGATCCTATAGCTTAGCACTTACTTCACACCCACTAGGATGGCTGTAATTTGTAAAACAGAAAATACCAAATGTTGATTGGGATGTGGAGAAATTGGAACCCTCACATGTTGGGGTGGGGGGATGTAAAATGTTACAGCCACTATGGAAAAGTCTGGCAGTTCCTCAGTAAGGTAAACGTGGACTCACCATAGGACTCAGAAATTCCACTCCTAGGTATATACCTGAGAGAAATAAAAATATACATCTACACACAAAAAAAGTGTACCTGAATTCTCACAGATTATTCACAATTGTCAAAAGGTGGAAATAGCTTAAATGTCTATGAACTGACACAGAAAATGTGGCTTATCTGTGCAATGGAATATGCAGCCATAAAAAGGAATGAAGTACTGATACCTGCTAGAACATGGATGACCCTTGAAAAACATAATACGAAGTGAAAGAAGCCAGACACAGAAGGCCACATATTATATGATTCTGTTTATATGAAATGTCCAGAATAGGCAAATCCATGGAGACAGAAAGTAGAGGGGCTGCCAGAGGCCGGAGAAGCGGGGGAATGGGGAGTAACTGCTTACTGGGTATAGGATTTCTTTTTGGCATGATAGAAATGTTCTGGAATTATACAGAGGTGATGGTTGCACAACACTGTGAATATGCTAAAAAGCACTGAATTATACACCTTTAAAGAGGTGAGTTTTAAATTCAGTTAAAATTTAATAATTAAAATAATTTCAAAAACGCTTAGCAGAAAGTAGCAGAGATGACTCATTAATATGGGAAGCTAGCACATGATGCACCCTGTTATTTGCCGTCCACCTGTGACTCACCAGGAAGGACGCGATGACTTACGGCTTTATTTCACGCAGCTTGCTTTCTACTCCTGTGTGACTGGTATTACTAGGGTTCTGCCCATCCATTTTCCTCAACAGAATTTTACAGCAGTACCGGAGGCCCGAGGGGTATGATGCTTATCCCCCAGTCGTTACTTCTGAAATCTCATCTCAAATTGTAGGGTCAACTGCTATGACGTGTTTGGGGCCCAGTCCCCGTTCGGTGGCTACAAGCTGTCTGGGAACGGCCGGGAGCTGGGAGAGTATGGGCTGCAGGCGTATACTGAAGTGAAAACCGTGAGTATGGGCGCCTCCCAGCCCTCTCCTTTGTGCCGGAGCCCATCAGTGTTTATTGTGAGTTTCTTGTTTTAAGCCATGGAAGCTACAGAAGAGGGTAAAGAGCCAGTCTCTGTCTCCTGAGGAATAACTAGGGACTTGACCACCACTTTGCCTACACGGCCCTTAGTTGGGCTTTGTTATACACCAAGTTCTATAAAACCTAAGAGGAAGGAAAAATCCTAGTGTACCGAAGCAGTAAGGAAATTCTCCTAATAAGAATCAAGCTATGAAAAAAAAAAAAAAGAATCAAGCTATGGGCAGGGAGGGTAGAGCTCAGTGGTAGAGTGTGTGCTTGGCGTGCATGAAGTCTGGGGTTCAATCCTCAGTACCTCCGTTAAAAAACAAAAAACAAAAAACAACAAAAAACCCTAATTACCTCCAATCCAAAAAACAAAACAAAGAATTAAGCTATGAGCCATCAGATATCAAGGGCCATAAAAATACCTATGTCCTTTGCTTTTACAATTTGAGTAGTAGGAATATAGCCTGAAGAATTAATCAGAAATACCCAGAAAACTTTATTTCCATAAATACCCATCACAGCATTCTCTAACATGAAAAAAAACCAAACAAAACAGACGTAACCTAAATGCCCAATAAATTATGGAATGCTAAGTAGCCGTTGAAGTATTTTTGTAGAATATCTGCTGTAGAAAATGCTCATACTTTAAAGTAAAAAAGCAGGATGAAAAGTAGTACACAGTGTAAGCCCAATTTGAAAACTATCTACGCACATATGTAGATACTCAGATATCTTTATCAATTAGAAAAAGACAGGAAAGATACTAAAGTGGAAATGATTTCCTCTTTACAACGAACACTAAATATAATTTGACCAGGAAACATACTCACAAGCGATATTTTAAGAAGAGAGAAGTAGGTGGATCCAGGCTTTTCTAGGATCGGAAAACAGAAGGCTCAGGGGAACCAGCCCAGCCGGGAGGAAGCAGGATGAGAAAGGGGGAGCAGAGTTACGACAGGCAAACCGTGCTCTTCATTCAGCACTACAGTGGAATGTCTGGGAATAGCCTTCTGTGGTATGTGGCTCTAATAAGATACAACCTGTGCTCTCCGGAAGATCACTGGAATAAAGTAAACATGTTTGCTTGCTTATTGAAATGTTCCCAGTATCCACAAGGGGTGAGACCCAGATTTGAAACTGACATTGGGGTGTCACTGGCCTGTAACGGGTCATCACATCAGCAGTTACGGAGCTTACTGAGGTGTGTGGTGGTGATGGGGGAGGGAGGGCTAGGACTGAGCCCCCGAGGATCTGCAGTCTCTAAGCACTACCTGGAGGGCAGCGGGAGAGCCTGAAAAAGAGAGGCTTGAGTCGAGGTGACTCGTGGAGAAAGCCAAGCTGCCAACGCCGGAGACCTCAGGAAGTGAGATGCTGGGGGAAGCAGGAGAAAGTGTTTGAAGAAAGAAGGGGCAGGACTTGATGATGACTTGAGAGGGTTAGAGGATGCAGGCGAAGGCGGCAAAGCTGACTCAGCCCAGCACCCACTCTGTTCCAGGCACTGTGCTTAGTGCTCATGATAAAGATTCCTGTATTTTGAGCTTTAGGAACTCAAATGATGATCCCAACAAAAATAGAGATTTTTCAGAAGAGAAGTCAAGTTTGCAAGGGGGGACTGGTGAGAAAATTTCTTCCTTTAAACTCATTTTTACTGAGAGTTTATTTGGTGCCAGAATCTGTGCTAGACTTTCTTATGTGTGTTACCTCATTTAATGCTCACAATGACCCCGTGAAGGCGACACTGCTGTTATCCCATTTCCAGATGGGGGAATGAGGCACACAGAGGTCAAGCACTTGCTCAGTAGGGAGTAAATATGGGATTCAAGCCCACATCCATCTGAATCTGGAATCTTCCCACTTAACACACTGAAACACCTGCAAGCTTCAGCACGTTATTTTTCCTGGCTCTGATTCTTGTGGAGGGACACAGTGGATCCAGGTCAGGGTCTCTCAGCCTTGGCACTATGGACATTTGAGGTTGGGTAATTTTTGTTGTGGAGGCATCCTGTGCAACGTAGGATGTTAAGCAGCATTCCTGACTTTTACTAGCTAGATGCCAGGAGCACCCAAATGTGGCAATCAAAAATGTCTCCAGACATTGCCCACTGCCCTTTAGGGGGCACAGTTGCTACCCCCGCCCCCTCACTGTCTGAGAATGACTAGGTCAAGGGGAGGCAAAGTGTGACCTTGTGCAGAACACAACCCTAGTGGTTCCTGGGATTGGGCAGCTGGCCATCAAGACGGCCCAAGCTATGAGCAGCACCCAGCTGAGGGTGCCTGCAGACCACAGGGAAGCATGAAGACGTGACAGTTTCTCTGTATCCCTTTCACAGGTCACAGTCAAAGTTCCTCAGAAGAACTCATAAAGAATCACTCTGGCTTCCTTACTCATCCAGTGATGGAAAGTTCAACGCGCAGCAACAAAACCAAGAGAAATGACCCTTACGTGCTAAAGCTCTCAAAAAAAGAAATTCTGCCACAGGATCTCTTGGATCAAGAAAGTTCCAGAATTTGAATCAATAAAGAGGGTAGGCTTGGGGTGAAGGGTATATGGAAAACCTTTTAAACTGCAACAGTACTACTAGCTTTCAGGGTCAAATGTCTTCTCCTGTCCACATGATACATACACTTCTGTAACTTGCCTTAATAGGGGAAGAAAAAGCCATTGTTTACCATTATACTATCATTGGGGTGACAACTAGCACCTTGCTTTGTATTGTGAACTAAAACTCATTAAAAACACTGTTGCTCTTCACTTTTTGGGTAATTCTTTCTCCATCTCAATAACCGAAGGAGATGCTGTCACAAAACTATGTCGACCCCTCTGTGCTTATGTCGCCCCCTCTATGCTTACGTCACTGTGTACAACTGCCACCCCTCCCCTACCGTGGAGAAACAGCCTTGGTCCCCTGTGTGTGATCAGCTGATACCTCTGGCCTGCCCACTTATGGCGGGCCCTGTGGCAGACACTGAGGATGACAGCTAAACAGGACTCCCAGCCCCTGCCCTCAGAGAGGAGGAGGTAAACCAGGAAGGACACACTTGATGTCCAAGGTTGGTTCTCAGTGTTGTAAGTTCAAAAACTTGGTCAGACCAAATGAGACACTATTCCTGCTGGACCAATTTCAGAACAGATTGATTTGAAAACCAGATGTCAATTTATTCATTTTAAGTGAGGTCTATGCTTCTCGTAACCAGACCTTTTGAATCTCATATCCAGAACACTGCCTTCCTTTAGTCAAGGGACCTGGCAAATTAGAAATTAGTATCATCGGTAAATTAGGAATCAGAGGATTCCTTGGTAAGCAATGGAATTGGAGCAAAGAGAGTCGAATCACATCAGTGGTTTGTGAAGTTTGTG